AGCTGCACCACCTCACGCAGAAACAACTCAGCCACTTTCTTGGCTGTGAATGGATGAGACAATGGCAGGAAATGGGCATATTTGGACAGCCTATCCACGACGACCAAGATGGTATTAGCCCCCTGCGACCGTGGCAGACCACATAAGAAGTCCATGGAGATATCCTCTCATATCCTCTATGGAATAGGCAGTGGCTGTAGCAGGCCTGCGGGGACCAGCGCATCCGACTTGGAACGCTGACAAATGGGGCAGTCAGCCACGTACTGGCGTATGTCCCTCTTCATTCCTCACCAAAACAGGTTACTAGCCACTCGCTTATAAGTGCGCAGAAACCCGGAGTGTCCACCCAAGGTCGAGTCGTGGACCTCATGAAGCATCCGACCTATCCAAGGGGAATGTTGCGGTAATACTACCCTGCCGCGATAGCACAACAGGCCCTCATGGAGTGAAAATCCAGGTGCCACCCCCTCACCCTATTCCAACTTTCTGATCAATGCCGCACAGTCCCCATCAAGACGCTGGTCCTGCCGAATCTCGTCCCAATTCAGGAACTGGGGAACGGACAATGCAACTAAACCCAACTATGTGTCTTCCTCGCGCCGGGACAAGGCATCCGCTACGCGATTCGATGCTCCCTGCTTGTATTGCAACTCAAAGTCGTATCCGAAAAGCTTAATGGCCCAGCGAAGGTGCTCCGGGGGTAAAAGCCGCTGGTCCATCAGGAACCACAGGCTCTGCTGATCGGTTCACACCACGAAGTGTCTCCCGAGCAAATAATGGCGCTATTTCTGTACCGCCAAGACCACTGCCATGAGTTCGCATTCATACACAGAACGAAACTGTGTGGTGCCCGATAGTTCCTTACTGAACTAGGCAATAGGCCTGCCCTGTTGCATCAACACCGCCCCTAAGACAGTGCCCGAGGCGTCCGTTTCGACCACGAATGGCTTCGCGAAATCTGGCATTGCCAAAACGGGGAGGGTAGTCATTGCTTGTGGAGTGCCTCGAAAGCGGCGGTGGCGTCCTCAGTCCATTTGAACTCCCCCCGCTTGAGTAGGTCGGTCAACGGTCGTGCCAAATGCCCAAAATTTTGAACGAAGCGCCTATAATAACCCGCCAACCCCAGAAATCCCCGAACCCCGCGGACATTTTTTGGTGTGGGCCACGACAATATAGCTTTCACCTTGGCCGGATCAACTGCTACCCCGGCTGCTGAGATGACATGGCCTAAGTATTCTAACCGCTGCTACCCGAATGAACATTTCTTACAGTTGGCAAACAACCGTTCCCTCCTCAGAACCTCCAAGACCGTGGTGAGATGCTCATGATGGTCTTCCCACGTTCGGCTATAGACTAGAATATCGTTGAAAAAGACCAAAACAAACCGGCGCAAGTATGGCTGAAAGACCCTGTTCATGAGGGCCTGGAATGTGGCAGGAGCGTTAGTCAGGCCAAACGGCATGACCAGAAATTCATAATGCCCTTCGTGCGTGCGTAATGCAGTTTTCTCCACATCGAACTCCCTAACCCGAATTTGGTGGTATCCGGCCCTTAGGTCCAACTTAGAAAACACGGCAGCCCCATGCAATTCATCCAGCAGCTCGTTGATAATGGGGATTGGAAACTTGTCCGGCACCGTGAGCTGGTTGAGAGCTTGGTAGTCGACGCAAAAGCGCCAACTCCCGTCCTTTTTCCTGACTAACAGAACCGGGCTTGAGAAAGGGCTACTACTTGGCCGAATAATCCCCGAGGCCAACATCTCTGTGACCAGCCTCTCAATCTCACTCTTCTGCGCTTGTGGATAGCGGTACAGCCTAATGTTAGGCGGTTCTGCTCCCGGTTTGAGGGTGATATGGTGATCCCTCCCGCGCGTAGGTGGCAACCCTTCAGGTGTCTTGAACACCTCAGGGAACCGAGCCAAGACCCCCTGAACAGAGTCAGGCTCACTGTCCCCTGGATTGCCCCTATCCTCTCCTTCTAGCGAATAAATTTCCAACAAAGCCCCAACCACTTCTCTATGGGTGCGAAGGCATACTTGTTCCAAGCTCAGGGTCGGGTCCCCCTTCAGGCAGGTCCATACTTCTTCCGTTCTGAACTTCATCGTGAACTTCTACCAATCAACCCTTACTTCCCCCAGCGTTCGCAGCCAAGACACCCCAAGTACCACCTCAGCGCACCCCAACTCAAACGGGTCCCTAGATTCTCAGTTCCACCCCCTTACACACCCCCTGCTAGCGGAAGCAGGCACCATTTCCTACCTGGATGCCATAACCCCCCGTGGCTGTCAACGGAATCCGCATCTCCCTCACGACTTTCTGTGACAAAAAATTGTGGGAAGCTCCGCTGTCAACTAACACCACTACCTCTCGGTCCCCCAGAGTTCCCACCAACTTCATGGTATTGGAGGACGAAATCCCCATTAGAGAGTTCAGCGAGAGACCCGCCACACCCTCTATCTCCTCGGTTGTAGGCTCCTCCTCCACCACCAACTCCTCGTCTCCTTCCTCTTCCTCCTCCGCCAACAATAGCACCTGTAATTGCCGATTCTTACATCAGTGACCCAGACCGAATTTCTCGTCACACCGAAAACACAGCCCCTTAGCCCTCTACCGTTGGATCTCCTCCTCAGTAAGGCGCTTGAAGCCTGCCCCCCTCCCTCTGACAATCCTGCGGCTTGCGGTGGCCACCCCCGAGCCTTTTGGGAAGGACTCTGCTCCTTCCCCTGGTTGGACTGAAGGGAGTTCCCAGAAAACCCTAATGAGGAATACGCTCGATCATTAACACCCAACCCCTCCGACCTCCATCCTCGGCCCAGTCTCCCCTTCCGAAGCCTCTCTATGGCCTCATTCCGTTCCTCAATTTGTTGGGCCAGATCCATCGCCTCCTGGAGGTTATTGGGCCGATGTAACTTAACCTCAACCCTTACATCCTCACGAAGCCCATTAAGGAAAGCCCCCCTAAAGATTGGTTCAGGAATACCTCGCATGGGAGCAACCAGAGCTTCAAACCAGTCGCGGAATTCCATCACCGAGCTATCCTGCCGCAACGCCATCAGCCGCTCCGTCGGGTCGCCGTCCTTCGCGCGGCTGAATCGGTGGAGAATCGCTGCCTTCAAATCTCGCCAGTCGGTGAACGGGTCTTGTGAATCCAGCCACTGAAACCATCCGAGAGCCCTGCCTTCCATGCATACCGAGGCCGCCAGAACCTTCTCCTCCTCCTCGACGCCATTAATGGCGAAATAGCGCTCCGCCCGAAATACCCAGTCGTACGGATCTTCCCCTTGGAAGATCGGAAGTTCAAGTTGTCTTCCCCGATGGTCCATCCTTCCGCAGCCCCTGTCTGGCGAATCGGCCAGACCCTGTCTGGCGAATCGGCCAGACCCTGTCGGTCCCAGTCTCGTCCCTGCTCCCGTCGCAGGGGTACTGGTGGTTGGGCCTCCAGTCGGCGACCGATCAAGGTCTCCAGTCGGTGGAGGGCCCCTTGAACATCGCCAATCTGGGCTCCTAAGGCTAAGACATCCTCCTGCAACTGAGGTACGTGGTCCACGATCGCCCCCATCAGTTGAACGGTTTTCTCTGATCGACTCGAGGCTTCCTTCCAAGCTAGAGACGTGACCTGGGTTACTCACCGCCGGCAAAGTATGAGCCGTGGATCATCTGCTCTGATACCAAATGATAGGGTCCTAGGAGTTTAGCTAAGAGTCTGTCAACAAATTGATAATCCTGGATCCAACTCAACGTATTTTTATTGCATGAAATTGATCATTACAACTCAAGGCTCATGGAAGGCCCTGGAATTTAATGAAGAAAGAAGAAGAAAAACATAATGCAAGAAAATAAGATAATGGTGAATTTTCGAGTAATCCCCAGACTCCCAGGCAGCAACTCATGCACATAATTCACGATCCCTTCCCTCTGCCACCATACTCCCCTAATATCACTCAGGCACTAACCGTCCATTCCCGGTTCCCCAGGTGGGCTTCCAACGTCCCTTGGCTGGCCCACTTCATTTAGTTCTGGGCCCACCCCCTTTCCCTTCTTGGCCCTTCTCGCATACACTTTCCTCACCAGAGGCCTAACACACCAGAACTCACTGCACTTGGACTATCACCCGCTGCAGAGTCTCTTTTTTGGCCAGTCATTGCTAGTCTATAATCCATTTAGACTGCGGAAATAAGAGAAAAGAGGGAATTGAAAGGCTGCGGATGAAGGATTGGAAAGTTGATTTTTCAAGAAAGAGACGTGGCTCTGATACCATGTAAGCAATGGAGGATAGAAAAATTCTTTTATTCCTTCATAGTTTCAGAGAAATTGTACAGGGATTATATAGACTTAGTGAGGTCTAATCTAATCCCTAAAACAGAGAAACAAAGTCTGTAAATAAGGAAACAATACAAAGTCAAATATCCTCTCCTAAAATCCAGATTCTCCATCTCCTAATATCCGGTCATATAGCCATACAACTATTCCACAGCTCATAGTTTCCTAATTTACCGACAGTGAGATTTGGAAGGAGCCTGATAACTCGTTATTTGGACAATATTAAAATGGTACTTATAGTTTAAGAAAATATCATCCGAGAATCTTGCACTTATTTTTTGGGACATAAATTGTTCACTTTGCCCTTTTAGTCCCACCACTATGTGGTTTGGTTGGCAGTAAAGCTATCAGCATACCCAGGAAAGTTTAACGAGCATGCGGTTTTAGGTGATGACTACGTCATTGCCAATCCACAGGTGGCTGAGAAGTATGAGTGGCTGTTAGGCCAACTCGGAGTTGCCATTTCAACCCTTCTTTCACTCACATCTGGTACCCTTTTATTTAATTCCTTCAAATTATTTTATGAAAGAGGGTAGTCTTTTGAGGTTGATCTTAATCTTTCAGCATAAGACACAACCTTCTATGGACCGTGGTTGATCATTGCCCTTTTTCTACATCTTTTTGTCACGCCAGACAATCACAACAACAATACACCAAGTTTATATTGATACAAAGTAATACCTGAAATCACGGATTCTTCGTCCTTGAACCTCAAAAACACCAAGAGCACCATTTACAAGTGCAAATGCAAAGCTCTCAGAACTTTCATCTTGAGATCCATCCGAGGTCTCTGTATTCAGAAACACTTCTTAAATACTTCAACAAATAGAGTGCCTAGTAGAACTATTAACAACACAGAAAAGTAATGCTTCTGGATAATATGTGAGCATATCAAGTAACAAGCTCACTGGAGTCTGTTGAAGATGCCCGATCTGCTTCCCCAGATGGATGATCTTTGGAGGATGACAATGATGGCCTAGCAGGTCCATTTTGACCAGGCCGTGGAACTGTTGGAAGGGTCCATTCCAATACCGTAAATGGAAGTGCTAATGATCTAAGCTACATGAGACATAAGCATAATAAATACCAAGAATATAGTATATTGAAGTGGAATAAAAGGGAAGATGACAAAAGTATCAACAGATTTACCATAATAGGACTTTTAGTCATTGCCCAAACTTCTACTGGTGCATCGCGAAACAAAACTAACAGGTACCTGCAAAATTGTTAATAACATACTTATTATTCATTCATACAAATACATATTAAATACCCCTTTGACATGTTACAATGAATCATTGTGTAGTTCAAGACCTGTAAATAACTGAAGTTCTAGTAAGATTTTGCAAGAAGAGGGGAAGGATTACTAGATGGAAGTTGAAAGCAATACTACAACAACCCATCCATGTAACCATTTACTAGTCAGGGAAAATATAAGGAATGCACAAGAAAATGACCCAAGATATTTCTGCCAAGCCTACACAGGCAATTATTTTATAGAGTTTTCTGGAACTGTCTCTCAAAGCCAATGTATAATATTTCTGCTATCGAGAATTATTTCCGTCTGTAAAAATATTTTCAAACACTGCCAAGTATATCTTAATTCATTTTTTTTGTTTCCCCCTTTGGTGCAGTCAGTTGGATGTTTGTAGGCAAAACAGAAAATTATAATAAATGGTTTCATCCACCCTACTACCTTAGCTACATACCATGTGAAAAATGTACAATTTTAATTCCATTGTCCAGTTCAAGATTCATTTAAGACCTTTGTTTAAACAAAATATATATGCTACAATATATATATACACTTTTTTTTTTTCTTTTTGACACCCAGAAACCCCTTGAGCCTACTTCGTGAGGCCAAAGTTAGAAACTGGAGCCCTCTGCCAAACCCTACAATCTTTAGAAAGCAGGAAACTATGACTTTTGCCATGTAGATACCCATGAGGTGGTTCGAACCATAGACATTGTGGAGCAACCAAAGACTTGAGCATTCCAACCAACATCCCATGGGTTGCTACAATATAATATATATGAATATATGAAAAGCACCAGAATTTACAGTATCCATCGAGTTTAAATAGGAAATCTATTTGTAGAGTGCAAAGGCTACATGCATCAATTTTCTCAAACTATAGAATTTCAAAAGTAACAGAATTTAAAAAGATCCATAAAACAAAACTATTATAAACATTATAAATAAAGAATCGAGAATGTCAAAGCTGCACCCATTAATACGCCAAAAACAATTTATGATGGTGTTGCATCAGTATTCAAACAAATTGACAGCTGGAACCATATGATTCTGAAGAAGAATTCAAGATGAGGCGTAAGGTGTTAAATTAATGAGAATAAATCAAAATACCTATAAAGTTTTGAAGTTTACCTTCCAGAGGAAGAGGCCCTTAGAGCCCTTATGGGTGCACGTTCTGGCTTTTGTAGTACTCGGAATGGTCTATTAAGGCCACTTCTAAGACAGGTCACAACAAGCTTGTTAATATAACCTCCAGATTTCTCATTTACCTGATTCCGCAAATGGTATGATATCACTAGCAAGTATAATGACAAGCGTGCATGTGTATTCAAGCAATTGACAAAATTCAAACTAAAAAGCAATATACCTGACTATACGAAAATGAAACTACCCTCGAATTTCCAAGCCATCGTAATCCCCTAACCATACCACTGTGAACAGAGAAACTTGCAGCAACGGCATTGGCCGAAACATCAACAATATCAATCATACCGCTTTGAGTTCCCAAAGCAACCAATGGAACAGCTGTAGCGGGATGATTTCCCCCACCTTTATATTAATCAAGTTGCACAGCATTACAGCTTCCAGAAAATTTCCACAAACATATCATTACAATTTACAGCAAAATTATATGAAAATCCTGTTACTCAACCCAGGAAAAAGAAGAGAATTCAACATGTATGGACTATAGTAGATAATAGATTTTTTAGATTAGCAAGAAGATGAACTAACGGGCCAAGGTAGCTGTTAAAGAAGGTGATGGTACAGCTAGCATAGTCACTTGTGATGAAAGAAGCTGAAGCTGCCCAACTAAGCTAATCTGCATCAGTTATTTGGCATGTAAGCATACATAAATAACCTAAAGATACATAAATATGAAGACAGATATTAAAATTCACAAAATGTTTGTCTCCCTATCCAAACATAAATCACCAATATATATATATATATATATATTTAGTATTAATGAAAGATACCATCATTTCTTTGAAAAAATGAATAGTTAGAAAGTATCTCTGCTCAAGAGCAAACAAGTTAATAAAAGAAGACATCGTATCTACTGTTTTTACATTTCTAGTGCCTAAACTGGAGAAAAAGAAAAGGTAAGCAAAGGAAACCACGGCTGGATGTTAGACATAAACATTTAAAAAATAAAATAAAAGACAAGCAAATCATTCTAGTATAAACTGTAACCAGGTACGAATTAAAAAACGTTCTATGTAACCACAACAAACAACCAATCACTCTACATTGAAGAAGATATGTATATTGACTTCAGGGCTATTTTCTACGAATATTCATCAGGAAACCCACAAGAAACCAAAGCCATATGAAAACCAAATTTGAAAAAAAAAAAAAAATGAAGAGTAATTTTCAGGCATACCTTAAATGACATATCTGCTTGCTTGCTGGTGGAGTTTGCACCACTAATTCTGCAACCAGTCACATGCTCTCTCTTCTTGCCTGCTTCCGTTGCAAGTCCTTCTGTTGAAGAGCTTGTACCATCAGTATTTGCCCCTGAGACAGGCATTTCACTAGCATCAGCAACCATTCCCACGCTAATATCTTCCTTCTGAGTATCTTCGTCCCCTTCAGCGGTCAAGAGCCAGTTCCATATTTTCCCATCGTCAGAAATGGAGATCAAGTGTGTCTTGGAAACGAGAAGTGGCTCATCATAGAAATCAAAAGGACTATCAAAATCCTCAACCGGGAAAGGCGAATTAGGTACATTGGAATAAATCTTGCCAACATTTTCCAAGGGGGAATCCGACTGGCAGATTACGGCAGCAAGAACTGAAGGAGAAGGCACAGATGTGCCTAATGAGGGCATCAACTCTTCCATCGAACACATTATGTGTGCCTGCTCTCCCCTATAAAATATGCAACTTGAATCATATTCTTCAAAAAGAAAAGGTTCAAGTACAACAACCCAATCGCATAAACAACCATCATTAAACTAGCGAATACAACATACCCGCCAAGAAATAATCCCCATCCTACATTCAAATTTAACAATTTGTTTCTTTCAGGAGCCTTAATTTCAAAGAATCTCTACATGTTAAATCCAGTTTAACAGTTTAGTTATGACTTTTTTTATTTTTAAGGTTAAGAATCAGAAACACGAGACATTTTACTGCCAGACATACACCTGAGCAACGAACCAAAATAATTGATTTCCACCAGGCGATGTTTTCACAATTGGATCAGCAAAATTTGGTAAGTGAAATGATTCAGTTCGGCATTTCCTATACTTCAATACTACGTTAACTACATTCATAATGCAACGAATGCTTACTCTTTTCGCCGCCATGTACTGAGCTTCCCGTCCAGATGAGCACAATAGAGAAACTCATTGTTCGGATCCGGCAACACGTCGAGAAACTTCCCGCAGCCGCGAGGCAAGGCAGTGGAGAAGAGCACCGTTTCGTACCGCAAATCAAACACCACCAGCTCCTTCGGAAACGTCACGAACAGGATATGCCTCCACCGCGGCGAAAACGCAAATTTCACAATGTAAAGCGGAAAAACCGCCGACGCCGGCGACGATGATGAAGAAGAAGAAGAAGAAGACGAAGATCCTCCATTCGCCGCGTCCCTTTCCAGCTTCAGCAACTCGGCGCAATCGGTCCGAATCTGTAACTCCTTAATAACGACGTCGTTCTCGGTCTCCCCCAACACCTTGACGGACAATAGAAATCCTTTGAGTCCGATCACGCAGAAATGGCGCGAATCGAAGGGATCCCGGCGAATGCAGGAGAGGAACTCCGGTCCGGCGTCGTACTTCCAGAAGCATCGGCCGGTGGAGGTGTTGAAAAGAGAGAGAGAAGACGGACCGGCGATCGCGGCGAGGAGGAAGGAGTCGGACCTTGCCTGGACCCAGCAGAGGTCCTGAATCCCTAACCGAACGGGATCGGACTCGAGCCAGAGGACAGGGGAGCGGAGGCGGAAGTCGACGAGGGCGATGCGGCCCTGGCGGTCGGCGGCGGCGAGGAGGAGGTGGGAGGTGGAGGGCTCGGTGGAGAGGAGATCGCGGCGGAGGGGGAGTGGGGTCCAGCGGAGGGCGGTGACGAAGGGGGAGAGAGAAGAGGAGGAATTGGAGGTGGTGGGAGGAGGCATGGGGACGGTGGAGACGAGCTGCATTGAGCGGGAATCGACGACGGAGATGGAGCTGCCGGAGGCAAAGGCCAGGAGGCCGGAGGGGCTGAGGTCGGCCGATCCGAAGTTGCTCCGGCTCGGTGGGCCCGGCAGCATGCTGTCCCAGGAATCTTGTGGCAACGGCGGCGCCGCCACGACCATGGCCGCCGCTGCCGGTCTCGGGCTAGTCATTTTGGGTTTTTAATCGCGGGCAATAGAGATGTGGGAGTGGAAACGTCCTTTCGTGACTTGTCTTAAGTGTCTAAACTTGAATCTTCGTAGTTCATCGTCTTTTAATTTCTTTTTTCCCCTTTTGACAAACTCTTCAATGTTCAAAGGCGTGTTCACTTCTTACCTACGAAACTGATAAAAGTGGTCACTTCACCACCTGAAAATTTTTAATTTTCCTTTTTAATAAGTTAAGAAATATTTGGTTAGAGGATTCAAATCATTATTTGAATTATAATTTATGATTCATTACAGTATTTTCTCTCATAAAAATTACACGTAAATTAAAAATAATTCTAATCACATGATTTTAATCCATGAACCAAACATCTACTTAATCTAAGAATGAAAAGTTCATCAAAAATTATTTATTAGTTTTTCAAGAGTAGAATTTTATTTACAATAAAAGTTTATTTTAATTCAGGACATAACTAGAATACCGCAATAACGTATGAAATTTTAATTGTTGGATTTAGATCTTACAGTCTGAAAAGGAAAATTTCACCAACTAACGTATAACCTGCTTTAGCGTAAGCAAAACTCTTTGTTGGGATTTATATGGACCTTGGCTCATTAAAAAACAAAAGAGAAAAGAAAATTTAGAGCGAGGTAAAGAAAAGAAAGTCCCTTAAGATTTAGGAACGTGTTTCTGTCAGATGGTTAATAGAATCTTCCATTGTGGCCGATTAGGAATGACAATGGAGTGGGGTGAGGGTGGATTAGTGTTGAAACTTCGGGTGGTGGGTATGCCCGAACCCCAAAAATTTTTAGACACGGCAGGCAGGTACCATTCACCGTCCGTCCAACCATTTTATCCAGGCTCAGGCTCGGGCAGCCTGAGAAAACACCATTCCCGGTAGCCCGCCGCTAGTAGAGAAGTCAACACCGCCGTCCGTCGGTTTTTTTTTTGAATTTTCCCGCGTAACCTAATTTTACCCGAATTTTGCCTGAGTGTGCCCGAATTTTTTTTACCATTAGCCCAATTTTTGCTCGAATTTTGAACACAACGGCTCTTTTTTGTCCGACCCGACCACCGCCCCGACCCCAACGGCTTTTTTCTTACCGTTGCCCGATTTGCCCAACCCCAACGGCTCTTTTTCTTACCGTTGCCCAATTTGCCCGAACCCGACCCGACCGGGCGAAAGTGTGTGTTACCGTTGGAACCAAATTTTTGAGGGAAAAAAATTTGTTTTTTGAGCCAAAAAAATTTTCTATAAATACTCTCCCTCCCCCAACCATTTTTCTCACCCAAAAACTCTAATCCTCTCTCAAATCTCTCTTAATATCACTCAAATCTCTCTTAATCTCGCTTCAATCTCTCTCGGTCTCTCTTAATCTCTCTCAAAGCGCTCTCAATCTCTCTTATTTTTCATAATGGCTTCTTCTGGTTATGGTGGTGATATTCCTATTGATGCCCAATTTAACATCAAAAAAATGGCAATTTCTTAATATTTTTCAAACGCAGGAATCGCAAATTACAGAAAGAGTTGCTGAGGAAACTACAATTCCGAGCCCTGGTGGACGTACTAGAGGTCATGGACGTAATGGTGGTGGGCGTGGAGGAGAGGCAAGCGGAAGTACTAGTGCAAGTGTTGCAAGTTCTAAGAAGAAATGCAAGCGCACCTCAACAGTTTGGGAGCACTTCAACACATTCGATGAGGTCAACAATAACGGTAACATTAAATACATAGCTCAATGCAAATATTGTGGTGATAAATTACAAGGTAACACTATTCACGACACTACACACTTGAGAAAACACTCTGAAAAGTGTCTTCAAAAGCAAGGAGGCGGACCTGATCTCTGCCAAACACAATTATCGTTTGACTGCCAAACCGGCAGTCTAACCACTTGGAAATACGATCCGCAAGTTGATCGTATGGAAATGGCACCATTAGTAGCCACATTAGATCAACCACTTAGTTTTACCGAACAAAGAAATTTGCAGCATTATATTAAAATTGTACATAATCCTAATGCATAATTTTTTTCAAAAACTACTCTTAGGAAAGATGCATTAAAATTATATAAACAAGAAAATGAAGCATTAATCAATCTTTTACACTCTACTAGTGGTTGCGTTACGTTAACGGCTGATATTTAGTCCGCCGTTGCCAACAAAGATTATTTAGTTATAACTGAACATTATTATAAATGTTTTGATTTAGATAAGAGAATATTAGGTTTTAAATGTGTTGTAAGATCACATACCGCCAATTTAATATATAATACAATTTTATCTGCCATTGATGAATATAGTTTAAGGGATAGAGTAATGGTCATAACATTAGATAATGCTACTGCAAATACTAAAGTAATAGAACTTTTTAAAAATTATTTAAGTTTATTCGGTAATAATGATATATTTCACCAACGTTGTGCATGTCATATAATTAATTTAATAGTAAAATCTGATTTAAAATCAATGTCATGTCATATTAAAAGAATTAGAGATAACATTGTTTGGATTCAAGGTAGTAATCAAAGAATACAAGATTGGCTTAGGTTTCTATAAGTATGTAATCAAAATCCTAAAGCATTAGCATTAGATATGCCCATAAGATAGAACTCCACTTATATAATGCTTGAACAATGCATCTTCTATAAAGATGTTATAACAAACTATGCTAGTGCAAAATTAGGGTCATGATTTATAGATGAAACTGATTGGTAAATTGCCGAACTTTTGTTTAACTTTTTAGGTAGATTTCACGAAGTTACTTTAAAGCTTAGTGGAACTTATTACCCAACGTCACCACTAGCGTTAGGAAAACTTTTAAGAATGTCTATTTTATTTAGTGAATTTAGAACACATGAGGTTTTAGGAGTTCCTATCGCTTCTATGGAAAAGGAGTTTAAAAAATATTGGTCTAAATTACCAATGTTGTATGGTCGGTGTTATTTTTTACTATAGATTAAAATTAGATGGTTTAGAAAGTGGATTAGATAACTTAGGTGACTTTTTAGATATCGATACTACTGACCAATTTCCTATTATAAAGGAAAAAATATTATCTCTCTATAGCTCTTATGAAAGTAGGTTTAGAAACACACCTCGTGTAGAACAACCGCAACAATAAGACGACAATCCGCATTCATTCTTGAATATTTTCGGGTTGTCTAAGGAGAAGAAGAAGAAGACGACGACAACTCAAGGTCAAGAAGAATCTGGGAGTGGATCTTCATCAAGGGGTGGTGGCAACAACAGCGGCTTCAACGAGTTAATGGCGTACCTAAGTGAGGGCTTAGTTGTAGACAATAGTGAAATGTTTGATTTGGTTCAGTGGTGGAGGGCACGAGCATTAACTTGGCCGATCCTAACTCGACTAGCAATGGATATTTTTTCGATCCCAGTCTCCACTGTTGCAACCAAATAAGCATTCAGTACAACCGGCCGAATACTTGAAGAATGGAGAAACGCATTGCAATAGGACATTGTTGAAGCTTTGGTGTGCCTTAAGGATTGGGATCGTTCCAACCAACGTTTACACGATACAATTTCACCTGCAAGCCAAGAATGAATCGATGAATTTAATAGACTAAATTTTAATTTTCAAGACGATCATTCTGCTTCAAATTAAATTCTATTATTATAATTTGTAAATATTTATTTACTTTGTATAGTGTTACTGTAATCTTGTATAGACTTTGTAAGTTCGTCAAATTTGCAATTTGTCCCACAATGATTGTACTCTTTTTCCTTACCAAGTTTTTATCCCACTTGGGTTTTCTTAGTAAGGTTTTTAACAAGACAATTATGAATTACAAATTTAAAATTAATAAATAAATAATTTTTTTATATAGTTCATGTGTTCATTTTAAATTTCAAATTATAATATATATATATATAATAATAATAATATATAAATATATAATATAAAAAATATTTAAAAATTCGGGCAACTTAGTCGGGCTCGGACAGCCCAACCGGACACGGGCAGCCAAAGGCGGCCCGAAGCTCATCCAAGTAGTTATTCGGGTCGGATTGGGCAGCCGAAAAATTTGGGCAGGGCAGGCTCTGTCATTAGGTAAAATTTCAGAATTTTTGGTGGTCACGGGCGGCCCGTCCAAAGTTTCAGCACTAGGTGGATGATGATTTTCCATCCCTATCCTCGTTATCCTAAACCATCTTTATCTCTGTCTTCATCCCCGCTTAAAGAAGGGCGGGATCGTTGTCAGAAATTTTCTATTGGAGGAGCCTTCTTCATACTCGTTCTATTCCTTATCATATATGATTATGTATTTTAAAATTATAATAACTTAAACTAAAAATAGAGTAGAAATTCATTATAAATTTAGAGTAAAATCAAAAGTTTCATAATAAAAACTAAATTCTTAATATATTGCAAACTAAATACAAAAATAATAACTAATATATAAGCGAAAAATATTTAAAAACATCAAAATATAAACGTAAATGATCTTTTCTTACATAGTTTCAATTTTTATTGCATGGTTGCACATTAATATAGAGGCAGAGGCAGGATTGAGAGTACTTCCTATGTACATATGAATAAATTATCTTATATTTCAAATAAAAACATTTGTTAATTAGGTTACTCGTTATGTACATTTCTAGCTAACATATGTTTGTGAAATCATTGGCTGTATTTAGAATTGATCGTTTTTCTTTTTCATGTTTTTCAAGAAAAAAAATAAAAACGTTTTCAAAACGGCATTTGGCGCAATAAAAACAAAAAAGGAAATGAAAATGATTTTTTAGTTTAGTGTAAAATGAGAGAAAAATGAAAGTTACTTTTCATTTTTTATTTTCGTTTTCTCCTCTCTTGAGCAGAGAAAGAGATAGAAACATTAATGAGTTTTTTTATACTAAAAACAATCTTTTGATAAAACTACCAAATGCATTTTCAAAAATAATTTCTATTTGAGATTAAAAATATTTTTATTTTCATACAAAAAATAAAATTATTTTAAAATGAGTTCTAAACGCGCTCATCTCTCCTTAGAAGAAAGAATATGTTTTTTCAATGGCCATTTCGTTGCGTGTGTTTTCTTTTTTAAATAAGTCACGTTTTTTCA